AAGTAAGTAAGTAAGTAAGTAAGTAAGTAAGTAAATAAATAAATAAATAAATAAATAAATAAATAAATAAATAAATAAATAATAGTGAACCCTATACATAGCATGGTCTCTGACTCCCTCTACTGACCAGTTCTGGTAATTACATCATGGAAATACTTATTTCTGGGCCTTGTCTTTTAATTTTTTTCAAACCATGGATAAATTGAAATTATACATTCCAATCGCACAGCTATGGGGGTCCTACTGTACTCTTATCAGTTAAACTGCATCCCCAGAATGACACAGATGATGAAACAAATCTCTATGAAGTTTAACTGTTATGTCAATAGATACAGTAGTGACTCTTTGAGCGTTCTCAAAGATTATGCCAGTGATAGCTGTGGGAGATTTTGCCAAGCTGATGTAGCTTTGAGTATGGTCCACGTGGGAGGTTTGATGTTGGCTATCTCAGGACCTGCCTGGCTAAGAACAGAGAGGCTCAGGAAGGTGGGCAGCTACCAGGTGATATAGCAGCCATGTCACCACAATAGCAGTGTGGAATAGTCACAGTAAGAAGCGAGGGAGGGATGCCCTATGCTAATGCAACTGCAGGATTTTCAAGGCATTAAAACCAAAGGCTGCCGTACCTCTGATACTTAGACTTGTAAGGGAAAGTATCACATGTACAGTGGCCCTTGTCTTAGATTCCTTGAATACCTATCAGTTTTCTCGATGTAGGAAGTCCCTCCTGCACTTCAGACTGTGACTATCAGTATGAATAGAAGCAGATTGTGTATAATATTATGATTATTCACCATCACGTGTAAAGAATTCTCCTCCATCCACATATAAGAAAAAACTGATTGACCACTATTTCCCAACACAATGCACATCCTGTTAAAACATCACTTATATATTTTTCAGGCAAGTCTGTGCATATCCTTCTTCTAAGCAAAAATTGTATCAGAGTAACCAAAAGATGGTATGTCAGCAGTAGTAGAAGGGTGGCTGGTTCCTCATGCCAACATCACCAGAGAAAGTTTGCAAGTGCTTTTTTGATATATATAGCACTTCCTGTAGAAACATTACTGCTAGTCAGATCAAGAGATCTAATTTTGCCCAAACAGCTGACATTAACCATCTCCAGTGAATGTTGGGAAAGAGATCTGAGTGGCTGTTACTAGCTCTAACCGCCCCCGTGGTAAAACTCTTTCTTTCTTTCTTTCTTTCTTTCTTTCTTGCTTGCTTGCTTGCTTGCTTGCTTGCTTGCTTGCTTGCTTACGTATTTTGTATGGCCTAAAAATTTACATATATTGCAGAGAAAGCACAACTTTCAGTCCCAATGCTGGGTGCTTATAAGTTCCCCAATACAGTATTAACTCAGTTTTAATGCTATTCACCAAAAAGAAAAAGAAAAAAGGAACACAGACAATTTCATCTTGGGAAGTCCAAAATTCAGTATAACCTCTTTTATATCCAAAGCCAGTCTGCAAGTGTATTCCTGGAACATATGTGCTCTGGAGTAGTCCCAGTAGCTTTCAACATATTGTTCTGGGGAAAATGGGTTCAGAAATGCAGAAGTACTTGGCAGGAGTTTTAAAATGGATTTTGAATAGGGACATTAATCGCTCCACATTTTAGCATCCCTTTTGCAAAATGGGGGTAATGAGTCTTCTCTAACTCCCAGCTGTGCAGCGAGGATAATATCCTTAATGTCTGAGAGGTGCTGAGATTGTATGGTGGGGGGGGTAGTGCGATTGTACAAGCTGGAGTCAGATGAAATCAGAATGACTGTTTGCTGAACTGAGAATGACAAAACCATCAGAGAAAGAAATAGTATTTCCAGGCTACTTAGAAGCCTGGGGCCTTTTGCTTCAATGAAATAAGAATATATGCATTTTTTTTAAAATGCAGGGCGGGGGAGAGAAAAAGAATACAGGAAAGGAAAAGTCATGCATCAAACATGTTGCAGATCAGACATGCTCAGGTCTAAGTACACTTTAATATTTAATTCTTTTATTCCTAGTTCTAGAGTGTTTTTAAAGAAAATATTTGTTTTTATAGGAGCTATTTCTGTCTATACAAAAAGCTAAGAAAGATTCAGCATTGTTTTTCAGGGTAGAGGAATGGGGATTATTTTTTACAAGTAACTTTCTGGTATGACTTGTGCTGGCAATTACCCTAAATTACCTGCAGCCTCCTACAATAATGTATAATATATATACATTATTGTAGGAGGCTGCAGGTATATATATATTAACTGGCCCCATAAAGGGCTCTGTTTTACTTATTTTGTGCTTACACACAATCTGATTATCCTGGAAAAATTGGCATATCATTTCCATGCTTGCATTCATTCTTCATCATGGTTTTAGGGGCACCCCTGCAGGGAAGAATAAACCCTGACAGAAAAGCTGTGTTGTGCTGTAAAAATGGTCCCTGCCTTTGTCTCCATACTTTGCTTTCAACAGCAATCTTTATGTCATTACCTTGGAAGGACACACTTACCTGGTCAGCCAATGAGGTGGAGAGCATGCTCATTAGCTCTCTTTCAGCTGTGAGCCTCCACATCTGCTCCCATTTCATTTTGCGCAATTTATCCAAAAGCAGCAGAATGACCCCTGGAATCAACAAGCAATGCAAAGAAAATGGAAGCTGAAGTGAAAATGTGTAGGGCAAAGACCTTCATGCTTGATTAGTGTACTGTACTATCAGGATTAAAACAAGAACTTTGTTTAAAAATTATAAACTATAAACAGCTTATCTTGTTGAAAACAAGGGGAAAGAAATTAAGCGAAACTGAAAAGCTAGATTTATTTCTATACCTTTTAGCCATTTTTTTTCCTAAGTCAAACAAGCGGCTTGCTATATGAGCTATACATGTATGAAACAGAGAGGGGGAGGAAAACAGAGGGCAGGATTGGGAAGAGGTGATTTGTGCAATATGGATGTAAAGACTAAATCCTTCAGGTTCAATCTGCTGGGAGAGAATGGCTACCACCAAGCAATGCACTTGTTCTGACTAGCGCCTTAGGGCTGCCCCTACCACAAGGAGGCAGTCACTTTAGTATGTGCACCCCAAGTATGAACTACTCTTGGGGACAAATGGAAAGGACAATATGGCAGGGGAAATGTGCATGAAAGAAGTCAATATTTTAGTAAGAGCTTGGATCAGTTTCTTTTTAGAATGAAATGCTCTAGGAGTGGAAGTCCATAAAGAAACTTTTCTAAGTGCTGATTCTATTTAAAAAAAAAAAGAGTCAGACACTCTCCACCAGCTCTTGCAGTGTAATATTGAAAAGCACTGCTGAAAACCTCAGAAATCAGATGAAGGTGGTTAGTAGGAGAACTCCTATCTCAGTTTCCAGTGAAACCCTTAAGACTGAGTCTCCTGGGAGTCTCACAGGACAAAGATAAGAACCGGCCTGTATGTTGCTAGTTAAACAAACAAACAAAAACATCCTGATAAATAGCAGCCTATTATGTTGATGGAAATGCCTGGAGGGTTCACTGAGAGGGTTCTCTCTTCCTTAACATCCTCATTAGTTCAGAAAGAGAGAGGAAACATAATAGTAATATGCAAGTAACTACACTGGGGTTTCAGAAAATTGAATGTCTCAGGATAATAGCCAAGGAGAAAAATAGGGACTGACCAGCAGCCTTTGGAATAAATGAAACACACAATCCCGCAAAACACATAATTAAATGAAAAACTATCTTCAAATGAACCAGATCCCACTTCTATTTCATGACTCTTCTCAAACTGCATTAAACAACCATGGAGCAGAGACACAAGAAATATGTTGCCTTTGCTCCATTAGGGTAGGCCCAAGATGTCTTGTCCCACCTGCCAAACCAATGGCAACTTAACAAAACTTAAAGTTAACAAGAAAACCTTACTTCAACCCAACCTGTTAACTTTAAGCAAACTTTTCCAGACCACCTCTGCTAAATAAAAAGACATGAGCTCAAACAGCAGATAAATAAATAAATGGAAAAAAGTAAGTCGCGCAACACCCCTCTGTAACAAAACTAAAACATAGGTCAAACTGCTATCTGAGGAGCAGAATGTCCCTGAAGGTCTCTTCGCACAAAGCCATTTTTAATAATTTCTTGAAAGCCTGAAGGGAAGGGGCCTGACATATCTCTGATAGTAGGCCATATCAAAGGGAAGGGTCACCACTGAGAAGGCATAATTCCTGGTTGAAGAGTTCCTTGCCTTTCTCAGCATAGCCATCTGCAACCACAAGGCCTGGGAGGAGCAGGTGGAACAAGTAATCAATCTTTGGAAGAGATGTTCCAACAGGTATCGAGGTCCCAAACCATACAGGGCATGGAAAAGAACAGGTAACCAATCCAAATCAGAACTGGAGAGATCGGATCAAATTTCTTCAGTTCACAAATAATTTGGCCACTGCACTCTGCACCTGCTGGAATTTCCTATCAGCTTCAAGTTTAGCTGCATGTAGAGAGCATGGAAATAATTGATCTTTGCGAAAGGTCATTGTTTTAGACTGGTAATACTTATGAGCCATTTAAAAGCAAAATATGTCACCAAGATACACAGAAAAGCTTACACGACAGCAAGATGGGCAGCTTTTTGTGTGTATATTAGTAACATTTTCAAAGCATCCCATAATATTTTACCTTCCCCCCCAATGCTTTAAGAAGTCAGTAGAAAAAAAAAGGAAAATATTACCTTGCCCAGAATTCGTTATGGTGAAATTCCAGCCAATTTCCTTAAGACTGGCAAAAAATATTTTTATTTTTATTGCTCTGGAACATTCACCAGGGAAAGTGTTGAGTTCTTTTTTTTACAACCTTGCATGCTGTCAGTAGCTTGAGTGACTAGGAGGGGCTTTTCTAGGCTGGAGTGATTATCTATTAGTATGAACCAATAATTCCTCACAGTTCTTGGAATTCAAACAGAGCCCTGCCTCTCTATTGAGTATTCTATCTCTCTCTTTTGTCAGTTGGTGGCAGTTGTTTGTTGCTGTTGATCTGTTCAGTTGGTTGTCAGTATGTGTGCAGGAGAGAAAGCAGTATACAGTGGTGCCTCGCATAACGAGTGCACCGTTTAACGAAGAATCCGCATACCGATGTGGATTTCCCCATCGCTAATGCGAGGGCATCCTCGCATTGCGATGGGGGAACTGCTGTTCCACGGTTCCAAAATGGCCGCCAGACACCCAAAATGGCCACCGGAACACTAAAAATGGCCACCGGGACACCCGAAATGGCCGCTGGAACACTAAAAATGGCCACCGGGACACCCAAAATGGCCGCCGGATATTTTTATTTTTATTGCTCTGGAACATTCACCAGGGAAAGTGTTGAGTTCTTTTTTTTACAACCTTGCATGCTGTCAGTAGCTGGAGTGACTAGGAGGGGCTTTTCTAGGCTGGAGTGATTATCTATTAGTATGAACCAATAATTCCTCACAGTTCTTGGAATTCAAACAGAGCCCTGCCTCTCTATTGAGTGTTCTATCTCTTTTTTTCAGTTGGTGGCAGTTGTTTGTTGCTGTTGATCTGTTCAGTTGGTTGTCAGTATGTGTGCAGGAGAGAAAGCAGTATACACAAGTCAGTAATTTCAAGCAACTGTATGTAAAGAACATTTTTTATTCTTTCTCATATAAATGTCTCAACGTGATTAATCAAAACTTTAAGTGCCAGTTAAGGAAAAAGGGGTGGACTTTTTGAAACTTGAAGCTATTCTTTTTTTGTGAATCTCTGTATTTCCCCATAGCGAAGGTTAATCCGGAACAGATTAACCTCGCTATGCGGGGCACCACTGTACACAAGTCAGTAATTTTAAGCAACTGTATGTAAAGAACATTTTTTATTCTTTCTCATACAAATGTCTCAACGTGATTAATTAAAACTTTAAGTGCCAGTTAATGAGAAAAGGATGGACTCTTTGAAACTTGAAGCTATTCTTTTTATGAATCTCTGTACATCTGTTGCATAGCAAAAAAAAGGCAAAATGATAATTTCTAAAATAAATTCTAAACTCTGCAATAAAAAGATTTTCCCCTCTCCATGCCTGCATGCACATTTGTGCCCAAGTATATTCCTGAGAAATGGTTGCCTGAGACTGAAGTGACATCACTACAAAGTGGAACCATCCTGTCACAGATATGGATGAGGTAAGGTGTCAACCTCCCTCCCTATTGTTGATTGCCCCCAGAAGGCAAACACTGGTTATAAGAATAAAGTTCTCTCGTACGTGGTGGCGCTGTGGGCTAAACAGCAGAAGCCTGTGCTGCAGGGTCAGAAGACCAGCAGTTGTAAGTTCGAATCCACGCGATGGAATGAGCACCCGTCGCCTGTCCCAGCTCCCGCCAACCTAGTGGTTCGAAAGCATGCAAATGCGAGTAGATAAATAGGGACCATCTCGGTGGGAAGGTAAACAGTATTCCGTGTCTAAATCACACTGGCCATGTGACCACGGAAAGATTGTCTTCGGACAAACGCTGGCTCTATGGCTTGAAGAGCGGGATGAGCGCCGCCCCCTAAAGTCGGACACGACTGGACAAAAAAATTGTCAAGGGGAACCTTTACCTTTACCTTTACCTCTCGTACTTGGAGAGAAATGCAATGATCTTTCTTCACGCGTTCACAGTCTTAGATGCATCAAGTAAGTTCTGAATTTACATTTAACAGACACAGAAAGATGATCTCAATAAACATTTCCTAAATATAGCTGTAAGAGATGGCATTTACTGGACTTCCACTCAATTTTGCCATTTTTATTTCAAGCAAGCAGATTACTGTGTAACAACTAAAGAGATTAAGGGATTCTCAACAGAGGAGCTGAAAAGAAAAGACTGGATGGAAAAAGAAACAAAGCTTGAAGAATGTAAGATTATAAATTATATGAACAGCGATATTCTAAAATAACCTTGATGTTTTATTTTCCACAGTGCTGTGAGAATTCATAAGTCATATAACAGTTATAAAGTACATATAGAAAATAAATATAGTTGAAATCCTGCTCATTTTGGTGTTATATAAAGTTACTCCTGTATAAGTAAGTGTACTAGGCATTAATCCCAGGCAACCAGTATTGCACAATTTGATTGTAAAATCAGTCACTCAGTTCACCTCAAGACAGTTTTACACACACACACACACACACACACACACACACACACACACACACACACACACACACAGAGAGAGAGAGAGAGAGAGAGAGAGAGAGAGAGAGAGAGAGAGACTCTGTAAATAGCATTTACACCTTGCTGCAATTTTTCTTACTACCTCTGCCACTTTGGATTATGCACACGTAGCTGCACAACAGGATTTCAGCCTATGAATGAGTTCCACTCTCAATTCAAAGCAAGACTGGTTTCCATGCAATCAGATGATCCAGAGTTTGCACAACCAAGAGTAGCATTGCTACAAGAAGAATACCATCCTCCTGCCCCATTTTGAAATATTTATTGCGATATCTGCTGGAGATTGTTTCCACCCCCCCCCAGATATCAAAATAGAACAACAACAACAACAACAACCATCATCACCATCATAACAACAACAAAAGTGAAGTACTGAATGCTATACATTGCATAATATCTGGTCCCTCTAGTATTTCTGTGATTTTTTTAATTTAGAAT